AATCCATAAATTAAATATTATATTAATATTTATTGATTATGTGGAAAAAGAATCCAATATGAATGATATAAGTCACTCTATTCATAGACAAATTTAAAAGCAATCTACAGCAAACCTTAATTTGATATTATTAACACCTTTCAAGGAAGTATAGTATTAATAAAATGACTTTAAATCGAATACCTTAGCTTTTACTCTTATTAATTAACAGTGTATATGTTTCTTTTTTTAAAAAATGTTGAGCTGTCTTTAGACTTATCTTAAAAAAATATTTATGAAAAGATATAGAATATATACGATCTATGGAAGTCGTACTTTATTTCTTAATACATTTGATTAGTAATAGATTATAAATAGAAATTAAGAAAAAATGTTTAACTAAAATAACGTAACTAACGTTATTTTAATTTAAAAATTAAAAGAAAGTCTCAACCTTTCAACTTAAAGCTAGCTTCAAAGCCTTTAAGATCAAAGCAAATAATGTCTAAACTTATCTCTTCTTTTTAGATTATCTTAATTTCGCAAGACTAGCACCCGTAAAATGTTGAAAATAATTTTAATGGAAGCATGCATATCTCCTACCATAATCAAGCCGCTTCCAAATCTCTAACCTTGGTCCAATTTTTAAATAGGACTATTTTTTCTCAAAACAGAATATCGAGACAATTCAATGTTTCTTTTCTTCTAGTTCAGAGATGAGAAAACATATTCGTTAAATACAAAGTGAATGAACGCTCCTATTAGGATATCTAAAAACAACTAGCAAAGATCGTTAAATCTTCCAGTTAAATGTGATCATTTGCGGCTACCTTCATGATAGACGACGAAACATTATTGTTATTTTGAAAAACTCACTTATATAAAAATACTTTATTAAGTAGTTAAAGATAAGGATCCCTGTATTACATATAATAATATAGATTTATATATAATAAGCGACCTTAGTGAACTTCAAGAACGTTTAAATTTTTAAAAGATTTAGAGAGGGGATTAGATGATTTAAAGGATTAAAATTTTGGAGTTTGAATTCAACACTCTTAATTTTTTAACTTCCAGTCCAAATGTAGAAAGTTTTCAAAAAAAATACAATCACGAGTATAATCAGAATCGATTTATGTTTAGCACGAAATCAAGGTCCTAACGCAATAAATAAATCTAATATTTATTTATTTATAAAATAAATTTATATATAGTTCTGTGTTTAGAACTATACATATATATAGCATATATTTTAGGTTGTCGATTATCGATTGCTCCAAACCAAGGAAGGAAGTTTATAATTAGCCTATACTATAGTCCATATGATAAGCCTAGAGATATAACTATTTCAATTGAATAAAATATTTTTATGGTAAGAAAATCTAATAATAATATTTTAATATTTAATTATAATAATCGTTAACATATGTATTAATTTGTATTATTTTTCTTAATTACATAAATGCTCTTAGTGATTCATCAGTCAACATACTAAATTGAACACATCTAACAAGTTCAACAATTTCATCACAACTACAAAAAAAATATATAAATTAAATATTAAAAATTCTTTCAGCAAAAATAATTACGTATTATCTCCACTTCTATTTGCATTGCATGTACTTATAATACCGCCAAGAGCTTCCAATGCTTCCGAACCTTTTCCAAGGATAGATTCGGATGCACTCAGTGCTGCCTCCACATTGATAGCTCCAGATTCATCAATCTAAACATAATATATGCTTCATTATATATATGTATATGTTTAATCATTATAATTTGGTTTAATTAATAATTAAGAATTAATTTTAACTTGAAGTATATAAAGTGCAATTACCCTAATAACTCATACTTATTACAGAATAGTTTATTGTACTAAACACCATTTAACTAAAAACCTTAACTGTTATTATTTGTATCTGTTACTATTGTGAAGCTATTGTCAAGTTAGCTTATCTAAAATCAATGCCGCTACTTACAACCTATAAGAAATTCGTGAGAAGCCCAAGTCCATCGGGTAATATTATTATATGCAACAATTTAATATCTTATGTTACTAGGTTCAACTTCTACGCAAATATGGAAACCACAACAAAAAATGCATGCTGAAATATTGATTTTGATGTCCGAGAAGACTGTTAGCATTAAAAAATTGAAACCATCATAAAATATTAACAAAAAAATATATAAAATGATTAACGATCAATTTTAGAGAAAATTGAAGACGTGGCATAAAATTTCATTTAATCATACAGTTGAAATATAATAATTCTGATTTGTTTAACTGTTGGAGTTAAGGTTATATTCACTTCATTTTAATATCTTTAAACTTTAATTAAATTAAAATTAATGGACTTTTGAGACTCGATATGACATTTGCTACATCTCCAAACTGAAGGAACTCTTTCAGAAATAGAATATCATCTGTTTATTTAAAGAACAGTGTATACTATACGATAAATAGACTAATCAAATTGAACCTTAAAGAACGACAAAATGGATTCACAGCAAGATGGTTAAGCACTGCCTAACCTCAGGATCATAATAATTCGAAAATAAAAAACCAAGATCATCGAATGTGTTTATTGGATAAACATTGTTCGAGCTTTGATACACATTGGATTATAATAACTGTGTTTATTGGATAAACATTATTCAAACTTTCATCCACACTGGATTTTAATAACTATGTTTATTGGATAAACACTGTTCAAGCTTTGATCCACACTGGATTAAAATAACTGTGTTTATTGAATAAACACTGTTTAAGCTTTGAACCACACTGGATTATAATAACTGTGTTTATTGGATAAACACTGTTCAAGCTTTGACCCCCACTGGATTATAATAACTGTGTCTATTGAATAAACACTGTTCAAGCTTTGATCCCCACTGGATCAACCATTTTAATTCGTCTTACACTATTTTAATCAAAAACCCACTATTAATATTAATATTCATATGTTATATAGTTGGATTTTGTGTTATTAGTAACTGATTTGATATTCTTTTTTTTATTAATAATTTGTTTATTAGATATATATTTCCATACCAATTTAAATTTTTTCATTACACAACTCATAAAGCACTTAGCATTTTCACTTAAATTAACGTCGATGAATGTTAACTCTTCCAATTCCGCTGTAGATAAAAATAAAAAAAAATTTTTAAATTTTCGATTATTTTAATCTACAAAATTATTTTTCTATATCAGTTATTATGTACCATTCGTAACAGGCACTTCCTTGCGACATAAATCGAGAACCTCTTCGCTGCCATAACGAAATGGAGATGCCATGCTTTGAAAACTATTTGCAATTAATAATAAAGCTATCAACGAAATAATTTTATTTGCCATCTTATATATAACTTTCAATATATATAACTAGTACTCAAAGAATCCAACTAAAGAACTTGACGCAATGCAATCTCTTTTTATATGATTTGACAGCTATTGCACGAACTTAGTAGCTTCGTGGTCTAATATTCAGTCTTCGGATATAGTTAAAAATTTTTTTAAATAATTAAGCAGTTGATTTTCGAACAGATAGTAATTGTTATTACAATTAAAAATATGGTTTAATTTGTATTGAACACAGAATAACAAACATCGTATACCATATGGTTTTAGGTGGCAAATCTGTTTTTTCTTGAGTCAAATAACCATTGAGTCACTCAAATCAACAAATTATTATTAAGATTACGACTATTCACAAACACACTTATGAGTTATTTCCATTACTCACCATTCTACTTCATGAGTTTTTGGATCATTCGCAGTTCCTTCTTGCTTTAGAATTTCATACATTGGATTTCTTTATATGACACCCCAATCAAGCGTATTTTCGCCTAATATTTGGTTTATCGTTCTTGACTTCTATATCATCAGCAACCCGTTAATGAATATGCGAATGTAACAATACTGAAACCCAAAAAATTACCTTACATTAAATATTTTCGTAAGAATAATCATGAGCAAGAGCTAAGAAAAAGCTAAGAATAAAATGGATCATATATCATAAGAATGCAGAAAGACAGAACAAAGAGTAAAATTAGAAGGGTTCGAACAGCAATGAAGTAGCAACAATAGAAATTTGACTAATTTATTGAAAGTTGCCTGACCATTCAACGGTATTTCGAGTATTACCAAGTACTTATCATCAGTAATCTTAGAAAATATTTGAATTTTTTATTTAATTATAGTTAAAATTAGTATAAAATTAATTTCTTTTCGTCATAAGACGCGTCACATTTGACAAAAATAATTAACTTTAAGAGTAAAATTTTTTTTGCTGTAACTTAAAGTGGAGTTTGATGCACAAACTTAAGCAAATCCAACGTCTTAAGACGACAACCAGGCAGGATATAGATAGTAGTAGACTTATTACCAGGCAGAATGAGTCTTTAAATTTAGAATCATATTTAACGATGCATTCCGAAGATTGTTGATTTTGTTTTATGTGAAATTACTACATCCCTTCTCAAAACCCTTCTCAAAATAATTCTCGTTCCCTGAATGGTTTTACGATAACCAAAGCAATCAGTCAATATTTATTTAGATATACTTTAATATTTGATCAATTTTGACCTGTTTTTTTAAATTTGGGTTCTTTTCTAAAATATCCTTCCAAAGAATATTGATTTGTTTCAGCAACACTTTTATATATTTACCAATTGGATTAATATTTTATTCGTAGGTAATTTTAAATTCATTATCTCCAGAACAGCTTTACGTTGTTCTTTCAACATTAATAACAGCAGTTTCAATACAAACCAACCACAGATACGAAACAAAGTATAAAGATCATTAGCTATAACTTTTGTACCTAAATCTGTTATGTACGATTGGAGTTGTTCCAAATCTTTATGTCCCTCCAAAACAAACACAAACCTCCGGCTAATATATGTTTTTCTTTTAATTATATGACTCAAATAAACATTTGTCATTTTAAGTTATACGATTACTCATTTAGTTTGTTTTATTTTAGGTATTATGGAATAAAATAAAAGACGAGACTTTATTTGATATATATTCGTTGCTTATTTTGAATTATGTACCAATTCAAAATAAACTCAAATAGTAAGAGTATACAGTAACCAAACAGTGCTCGCAATATGGGAAGAATGTGGTTTAATTAATAAGTTCCTATAACTTTTTGAATCGAGAGTATAGGAATATGAAATAAAAATATATATAATATATATACATATTATAAAAATCTATATATAATATAAATAATATATATAACAGTTTATGGAATATACTATCTATATATCTGAATCAATCTAATGACAAAATCATTTGTACTAGAACTGCAGTACATAGGTTATTGGTATAAATCCAAAAAAAAATCTGGTCTAAAGTATGCATTTTAAAATTTTAGGAAAATATTTGATGACTCTGTCGCAGGAACAGATGCTTGAGCGCTCTTCAAATTTGCAAATATATCTGTTTCAAAAGGTTCAACTTTATTTTACATCGCTGGGTACCAATAGACTTATGCGTAGTTTACAACCAACCAAATGTACCTAACCTAACCTATGTTTTAATGTAAGTTTTGTTTTTAATTATATATGTATAGCAATAATAAAAATTGAATTTATGCAATAATTAAAATATAAGTTAGATTATCATAAACGACTTCTATATGTGAAGCGTCTTCGTGATAGAAATAACTATCTTTCCACCCTTTTTCATGAATGTCATTTATTTTATTATTAAAATAAAAAATTATAATTAAATTATAATATAATTTATATGAGATTATATTGGAATATATATTAATATTGTTATCACCGATTTCATCCAAATCGTGGAGTCTATCGATGTTCGAAATGGCGATCACTCAAGCTTCGTGCTGCAAATTTATCTTTCGCACATCTATCATATTGTTCAGCAGCCTCACAACTAAAGTAAAAATATTATAATGTATATGTAAAATAAATATATTTAATATATTATTTAAAGTCTGTAAAATTTGTTTAAATAAAATATTTACTGATTTTCTGAGACTTCAAGATTATCACAGATATTAACGATTTCGGTTGCTATATTCATTTTATTTGTATTGCTACCAATATAACCCCGAACTGTTCTGAGGACAGCTTCACCATTAAACTTTCCATTTTCAGTCATCTATACAAGAATAATGATAATTCAATAAAATAAAAATCTATTAAAATTTATAATAAGAAAAATTTCTAATACTACCTTTGATGTAATACTATATACTATATTGATATATTATCAGTGCTTTTTATACGAAGAAAAAATAATTTAAGAAAAAAAATGAGTAAAAGATAGAATTATAATTTTTATAATAATAAGTTACGTTGGGTTAATAGGACTAACCGTAAGCCACACATGACCTACTGATCTTTAGTGATACCAGATATTTAGGCCTCTAAACTAAATCTACATTTTAGTTCTAGTCACTTTGCGTATTTAGGAAGTGCTTAAAGCTCTATTCCTAAGGCAAAGACCCCAAGCATTTTTCAACAATTTTTTTATACTTATTTTTAGACCAGATCTAAGTCAGATATGAGCCCACAGCCTAATACACACACACCATGCTCTTTCAGGAAAGTGGTCTTTCATGTTTATGAGTTAAATATATAAATGCCTTAGGGTATGCAAGTTACGAGTACTTCTGGTTAGTTTATTTTTTTATTTTGTTGAAATAAATTCTTTAAATAGTTTAGTAATAAATGGAGACTTTCAAAAAAAAATTGTATTCTATTAATTTTGGTGTTTTATTTGCATAAAGTACACTTTGAGTCATGTCACTAACACTTAAATCTTAAGATTAGATCTTAAGATTAGAAAAACTTAATAAAAAAACAAATGGAATGATTATCAAATAGCATATATAGTATACCATATATAGTATGGTATGCTGTTCACAATAAAGTAGAACACATTTCACTTTCAAAAACCGGGTTAAATAAATAAATAATTGGAAGTTGTTAGAAAAAGTCGCCCAAATAAATATTGAAGCAAATTTTTAATAAAAAAAACAAATATTAAGGAACAATCTAAATACATGTGGTATTATTGTGACTTTAGAATCACTATTGTTATTTGTGACTTGGTACGTATACGTCGCTGGATCAATACTACTACTACTACTGCAGTCCTCCTCTCCTGGTGGAGCATAGGGGCTCACGCTGCATCAATGATAATGATTAATTTCCCTTTGGGAACGTTTTTTTTTTCAAAATATTATAAAAAAAATCCTTGCTATCAGAAATACTTATCCATGAAAACCACAAACAGTTTTCTCTCTGAACTGTTATTTAAACATATTTTTTTATTTATTTAAAAAAAACCTAAACACTATTATTTAACGAATTATTTTAATTAATTAAAAATACTTAAATGAACTTAACTATACGTTACCAAATTATATTTTTTCATAAGGCAGGCTCTTAAACACTTCGCATTCATACTTAATGAGTTCTGTCTCGATATCATGGCCTCGAAATCGGCTTAAAAAAATAGAGATAATAGAGATAATTGCTTTTAATCCAAAATGTTTTTCTATATGTCATATATCAATTTTAGATAATGTGATAACATAAAATATTAACCGATAATATTAACATAAACATACATTCGGAAGCACCAGTTTCTTTGCGACAAGACTCCACCATTTCTTTAAAGGAACTCACTGGTTCAGCACGCTTCGGGGTTGTTTGGACTTTGACTAGCAAAAACACCAAAATTAAAAATATTACATATACTTTTATGAACTATCATCTTCCGCAAAATTAATTTTAATACATTAATGTCACTTAAAGAAATCGTTATAACTAAAATTTTAATTATTTGTCTTTTATAAACCAAAAACATTTCATCTAAAATTTCCATGAGTTTCATTCATGTGTGAAATTACAACTCTTCTGATCATTTCCATTCGACCGAAGTGGAAAGGTTGTTTAAATAATTTTGTTTTTGGATAATATTTTTAAATATATATACTGCACGAAAAATTAATAAATATTTACTAAGCATCTAAAATGACATGCTTTAAATAAAAAGTTTATAGGTCAAGGTTCTCATATTCCTTCAAGCATTGAACAAATAAAAAAATTTTAGACTTTCTTCATAAAAGTGTATCGGACTTTATAAATTAATGTATCTTAATACTATCTTAACAAATAAAAGTAACGCCAATAAAATATATAAATATACCTCATAGTTTCCGAAATAAAAACATTAAAAAAATTATATAAAATATACTTATTGCATATCGCTTGGGTGTAGCCAAGAGGGTCATGTAGGGTCCAAAAAGTATGTCTGAAGTAAAGTTTCGTAATTTGTATGTTAAATTATCATCTCATAAAAGTATGAACTTACTATATTGGAACTTATAAGTTTGTAGGGAGAGAAGAGAATAAGATCATAAAACACGTTCTTAGAGCTTTCCAGGCACTGACACCCAATCCATTTTGGTAGCTGCGATGATGAAATAAGACTCGGTAAAAAAGATTTAACACTATTCACTATAATTTATCGTGAGCAACTGGAGAATTCGGGGAAATACTTTCTGTCTATGAATAAG